CCCGAAGCCAACGTAATAACGCGTTACTGCCACTGCCACCGCTCGCAGAGGCCAGAGGAGATTCAGTATGCCCAAGCTCACCATGAGAACGTGTCAGGTGTCTCATTAGATCTAGTAGTGGTTAACAAAGCAAGACGATTAACGAGGTTTATTACGCAATTCTGATGCGCCTCAAGGACTACATTCACAGTGGGATATGTGACCGTAGCCAAGGCTATCCATCTCTACACTGGTACGGTAATTATGATTGGTTGAGTCAGATTGAAATGGAAGGAGAGCGAGAGCTTGCTCATGCTAGCGAAAAATAAATCGCTACATATCGTGCTCTTCCATTCACTTGCAAAAAAATGAATCTTAAAACAGCTAGGCGAAGAGAGATGGACATTAAGAACTAATTCTGAGTCAATTGGCAGCACTCATGGGTCTCTTTGTGCAAACGAAGTTAGTATCCACCCCTCCGTTGAGAAAATAATGAGCCACTAAATTTTCGTGAAGGAAATTCCACAACTGTAATGTCGCTGTACCAACACAGGATGGTCAGTAAAATGATTTTTTCTAAGCCTCAGAAATCAGTAATGACACGCGCTCTTGCCTACCCGTAATGCCCTTTTACTCCGAATTTCATGAAACATAGCACCGCATGCACACGCCTTTGGTGCATTCCATAGAGAGGAGATAATGAGGCCTTAGAAGACCTTGGCTCATTAATCACCATAGAAAAACAGGAGCGAAAAAGAGAAGCGACCTTGGAAAGGTAGGAAGCCAACTGATAGACAACACGCGTGTATTAACAACTCCTGTTACCAATTTGTTCTAGTGTTAACCACCGATGTCATATATGACACGTAATTTTCACAATGCAGCATACACGTCAAAGATAAATGTGGTTTTTGGTGGGTCGTGAAGGCTGATTGCACCAAACCGTGTGATTCCAAAACGAAAACAGATCCAAGACAAATTTCATCCTTTAACTCCTGTTAAGGAGTTAAAATTTCCCGTTCGGAAGTACAGCTAGCGACCTTGAAAAGTAATGAACGCATGGACAAAAGAAAACAACTTCCCTTGACATCCCGGTATCTATTGTCATAACTTTACATAGACGCGGCTAGAAATGTAACTGGCATAAGAGCGTGTTACTTAAATGACGGTCACGTACACAAATGGACGTCAGCCACAAGGGTATCGAAAATAACGTTCAACTAAAAAAATGCTGAATTGAGAGTTCAAAGGATGGAAGCTTATTGTACGCTTGGTGTAAGCGCACATTCTCACCCACGGGAAGTGAAGCTTGACTGAAGAGAGGTAAATTCGACTATAAACGTTCAACAACATCAAATCCGGCTTTTTGTGTTCACTTTCACGTGAGCTGGAGACCCAGGCACGAACTTGCATAAATCACCCTCACACTGTGTGCGAGTGCAAAAAATAGCCGCACACACAACACATAGGATTGCGCTTCTAAGCTTTGGAGGGAAAAAACAAGGGCCCCAAAACGAAGTGCCAAATACCACATAATCAGTAACAAAATGAAGTATGAAATAAAAATGACATTTTACTCGGCTAGAAGACATGACACACTTGAGTGCATGGAAGCCAGAAATAAAGCCGTTCACTTCTTGTAGGAATTCGCGG